CTTTCGTCGCTCTGTCTTTCTCGCGCCTTTGTGGGACTCCCCATGAGTGCGAGAGGGACAGAGCGACGGAAGTGACTCGGCACGAGTCTGCAGCCGTTTTCGGGAAACACGCGAGCAGGCGGGCCCTGCGCCCCGACAGCCCCGAGCTGTCGAGCGGACTCCAAAACGCCATCCTGGGCGACACTCTCCCTTGCCGCTGCCCGGCGCTGCCCGGCGCCGCTTGGCTGCCCCCCACCCCGGAAACAAATGCTAATCGCAAACGATGTGGCGGGTTGACCTGGCCGAAATAATAAAGTCCCTCAAAGCCCCTTCCCTCAGCAGCAGCAACAGCCAAGGGGAAACTTGAGGTGAATTATTGACGCAGCGCCGACACGCCACGGCCTGCAGCAGCCGCGTTCCGAACGGGAGTGCTTCCTCTCTCGCACGCCCGGGGCGAGCCGCGGCGGTGCGAGAGAGACCGAGCTCGCTCGCCAAAAAGGCTAAGGCCTCCAGCCCCAGTTCCGCTTCTGATAAACGATTGCCGGCACTCCCTCCCCACTTTCCTTTATTGAGCAACACGACGAGTGCAGCGACGGGTTGACCCCTTACCCCTTCCACCGCGGCATTTTCTTTCCACTTTCCTTTTCTGGCTATCGCCGAGCGTGCCAGGCACGCGCAAACGCACCGCCCGCAACGCCAAGGCAACGGCAAGGCAAAGCACAATGGCAACGGTGACGGCACGGCCCTAGTTAGCAGCGGCTGCCAATCACACGTCCCGATGTACTCGGCGAGTCAGTCAGACAGACAAGTTGCTCGGTGGAGGCGGCTCGGCGGTACGCGGCTTGTGTAGCGGCGGTTCGGCTACACGGCCGGCTACTCCACCCGATGAATCTTTCATGGCAAATAGCTGTGACGACGCCGACGACCGAGTCGCGCTTCGGCGCTCTTCGGTCGCTTCGCTCAGGGGCCATGAAAAATGAAGCAGTCAGATTATTTCGAGTCGCGACGCGGGCGTCCTCCACGCCATCTCGAGAGTCGCGAGCTAAGCGGCAAAACGGTTTGGAGGCGCCCACGCCGTGCCCACGCCGCGCCCGCCCCGCCGCGCAGCGAAAGCCGAGACGACGAGACGTCATTGCAGGGGCCTTGGCGGGGGCCCCACGCGGGGCGCGCCTGCAGCACGTGACCCCCAGCCTCTCTGTCACACCCCTTCGTGAAGCCCCACGAGTGCGAGCGAGACAGAGCGACGAAACTATCCCCTTCGGAAAGCTGGCCTGTCTTTACCGGGCGGTGACGTCAAGGTGCCAATTTACGCCCCGCAGCCCGCAATACCGGCACTACTTCACGGCACGCCGAGTGCTGGGGAAGGCTTCAAGTGTCTTGGACTGGGCGCCGTCGAGTGCCGTGAGCCAGCTGTGTGTGTGTGTGTGTGTGTGTGTGAGGGAGAGAGAGAGAGAGAGAGAGAGAGAGAGAGAGAGAGAGAGAGAGAGAGAGAGCGCGAGCGAGCACGTGAATGAGGGTGGGGGCTGCGAAACTTCATCGATAGTTGGCGGCGGGTCATCAGTGGCCGTGCCACATCGGACAGGGTATGGATGAGTAAAGTGGTTCTGTCTGTGGTGGCGCAGGTAGTGCTCGCCCACTGGCGACCACGCGACCCTCGGATCGCGCCACGACCACGCCGCCGGGCTGCAGGACTGTGAGCCTGAAGGACACTTCGGGGTGCCCCGGCCTTGCTATGCTACTGGCAGAAGGACTGAGGCGCACAGCCATTGGCCTCCAGGGAGTTGGCCATTTTTTTCCGGGCGCTGACTGGAGTCGTGGGGACGGTCGTCGGGGCAGGCAGCCCGGCCGGCCATCGAACCCTAGCCGATGGCCGCTGGCCGAGGGCCTGCAGGGGCTCCTCTAATCCATGCCGACCCGCCCGGAAGGCCTGCGTGGCCCGCGCGGCTCGGCGCGGCTCGGCGGCACACAGACCAACTCGGCGGCGTCATCGGAGCCCCGCGCCTCATGCCCCGCGCCCCGCGCCGTGCGACCCAGTCCAAATCGATGGGCACACCATGTGGCACGAAAGTCGTGACGTTTCAATGACGTTGGCGTGACGAAGGTAACGGTGGCGTGACGAGCGCGCCGTGACGAGAACGTCGCGACGAGCACGTCGCAACAAGCGTGCCGTGACGAGACGAGAACATTGTGACCTATACGCCGTGACGAGCACGTCGTGACGAGCGCGCTGTGACGAGCGCGCTGTGACGATCGCACCGTGACGAGGACGCTGTGGCAAGCACGCCCGGGACGAGGCTAGGCCAGGCTAGGCCGCGCGGGAAGCCGCCGACTCTAGCGCATGATTGGGCGGGCTGCATGCAGGTGCAAGCGGGGCAGCGAAAGTCAATTAAAATTAGATGGGAAATGGGCGCGCCTCGTGCAGTGGGGAAGTCTCCCCACGAGGGATATAGACTCACACACATGCACACCCCCACTCACCCACACACACACACAACAAAAAATTGCCGTTCGCTTTCGTTCACCGGTGGAAACTGAAAGCCACACGGGCAGCAGCTCCCAAGGACGGCGCCATCCCTGGTACCGCTCGTGCCTTCTTCTATCCGACCTCCAATCACATCAAACATTCCACCAATCCATTTCACTAATACCAGCGGCACCTTCAATGGGATTCCAGGGAACGGGACTCCATGACATGTCTCCCTCTCTCTTTTTGTCCTCTCTGTTTTTGGCGTGTGCGTGCGCGTGTTTCCGGCGAGTGGATTACTCGCCTCATGACAGCAGGTGTGCTGTGTCATTTGGGGAGTGATACGGCTTCGGTTATGGAGCGCAAGCGGTCGACGCGATGCCGCGAATGCGAAACAGAATCACCCTGCTTTGCAAAAACAAACATAACCATTCAAACAAATAACGCAAAAAAAAAAAAAACAGAAACAAAAAAAGGGTTGAACTTTTCCATTTTACGGGTGCTTCCTACATTGCTCTCCGTACACTATAGCAGACAAAAACCCCCTCCCCTCCCCTCTCCCTCTCTCAATCTTCCCTCAAACGGCCACCACAGCGACATCTTCCCCAGGGTATCATTACCGGGGGCGATGGAGTAAATGCACGCTCACACGCCGCCTGCAGATTCGTCTGCGCAAAATGACACGGAAAACAAAAATAAAAGACCACCCCTTTTTTTGTTTTTGTCTCCCTTTTCCCACCGGCGTGCAATCGGCGTGGCCATAAATCGCCGCCGGGCCTTTGCCGCGCACCTTTTCGGTTTCAACGTCCGAATCGCTTGTGCCAGGCTTTTTGACAGTGATCGTAAAATATGACTTCTGCTCGAGTCGGTCCGGGCGGGCCGGCCAGGACTGGGTGCCGCGCCACGGTGGCGCCGCGGCGAGCGTCGCGCCAAGTTATGTGCTTCCGACTGCGGGAGGGCGCGACGCGGTGCAACGTCTCGGGTCCTTCTTTTGCGCGCCACCGCCGCGGTCAGGCTTCCCACAGGAAAGCAGCGACCGCATCCAGCGGCTGGTAGCGGCAGGCAGGCATCACTGCACAGCCAAAAGGCGCACCCGCCCCGCCCCGCCCTTGGGCCCGGGGGGGGGGGGTATCGGCGTCTGCAGCGAGCAGGGGAGCGGCCCCCTTCAGCATCTTCGGCCCCTTGGCGATGCAGCAATGCACCACCAGTGTAGCGTACACGACATCCTTGTGGGCGGGTGTGCGCGTGGCGCCGCCCGCAACCCTGGGGCTTCGGAGAGGCACCCTCGGGTCGCCCCAAGGAAATGAGAAGGCGGGCAGGGCGCTCGCGTCAAGCCGAGCCGCGGCAAAGCGCCACCGATTGGAAAGTAAGGATGAAGAGGGTTCAGAAAACCGAAGGCACCAAACTTTAGCCCGCATGGTCGCGGAAGCGTGCTGGACCTGTACGTCGCACCTACCTCAAATCGCGTCCAATGGAACGATCACCAACAACCTCAAAACGGCGGACGAATAAAGGAGAATCTATCTGTGGCTTGAATGTGAGGAGTTACTGTAACGCTAGCTTGTGCCAGTTCCGTTACCGCCCTTAAGGGCGCGCCAGAAAGAGCGGGCAGTGTCGTGGATAAACGGCAGAAACAGCCGTTTCGGATTGTGTCTGTGCGTGGCAGCGCCGCCCTGTCGACCGCACCACACCGCGCACCACACCGCCCCGCCCTGGATGCACCCCACAGCGATTTGCATACCGGTTACACGGCTTCGCTCTCCGCCTGACTGGCGTCCCCGCCCCACCCCGCCCCGCCCCGCCCGATGACTCCGCAGTGACTCGCAGGGCAATCGATGTCCATGTCCAGTCACAAGGCTATTTTCAGGCCGGCGCCATACCCTTTTGATCCGACACACCCTCGCCAGCCGACTGATCCGGAACAATGCTGCCGCCTCTCTCTGTCTCTCTCCCACTGGCGCCCTTCCGCAGGGGTGCGAGAGAGACAGACCGACGGCGCGGCCGCGCGGACAAGAAAAAGGAAAAGTTGATCTAACGAAAATTTCCCTGTCTCCCTTCACAGGGCTTGTCGATATTCATCCCCCGACAGGGAAAAGGGGCGGCAGGCGAGCCGAGCCGGCTATTAGGATAATCGACATAAAAAGATGTGTCGGGGAATAAATTAAAATGACCGCAACAGGCGATTCGCGCGTTAAACGCCTCGGGGAGAGTGACGCACAACAACCGCAGTGGGGAAGCTCTTCTACTCACGGCAGCAACACTGCAGCAATATGCCACAAATACACGCACACACACACGCGCAAGCACACTCACGAGAAGAGGTTGGGTCCGGCACTATATCATCTCACCACACCTGTGTACATGAATATGTTGGTACGCGTGGTGTGTGTGTGCGCGCTTGTGCGAGTGTGTGTGTGCGGGCGGTTCGACTTGACGCGTCCCGGCGGGGTTCGGTTCAAATCCGAATTTACGGTCCTCCCCGTCGGAGGGTCTCGGGGCCGCGAGGCGAGGCGCACGAGCCTCTCCAGGCGGTGCGGGCGGTGCACTGTGTAATTACCTGGCCGGCCACGCTGCCCTGCGTATCCATTGCTGGGCTGCGCTGGCTGCGTGCAGTGGAGTGGAGGGCTACGGCTGCCCCGTGTCGCGGAGACACGCCGCGGCGCCCATCGCGTCGACGGGGCCGAAGGGAGGCGCCAGGTGCCAGGCGGTCAAGAACAGTCCGCGGGGAAAGTTGCCACGAGCGGCACCGGGAGGCGGGAGGCGGGAGGCGGGAGGCGGCCGGGGGGCGGAGGGCCTCCGACGTGCTCGACTTCGCGTGCTTCGCGTCGGCCGCGGCAGCGGGGCGCTCGGCTCGGCGCCAGGCGCGGTCGGCTCGCTTCGGCTCGGCTTGGGACTACCCCCGTCGGCGGCTCGCGGCCAACTGAGCGCCGCCCCGCCGTCGAGGGTTACGCCACGCCGCCGGACGCCCCCGCCGCCCCTCCATGCGGCCCCCTCACGACGCCCGGGGCCCCTCCGGCCCCGGCGGCCCCTCCGGCCCGGGGTCCAAACCGTCCCAAGGTGCCCACACGCCACCCTTGCCAACGTCATGATGCTCAGGACTGGCGTGGCCTCGGCCCTCGGCGTCAGCGTCGGCGCCGAGGTGCGCACGCCTCGCGCGCCTCGCGCGGCCAAGGAGCGCCTGCCATGCGACGGGTAGGCGACCCGCCGCGCGCGCGAGCGCTGCACCGCCGCACTGTGCCTACCTCGCAGGCGCTCCAGCTGTCGCTCTCTCTCTCTCTCTCTCTCTCTCTCTCTCTCTCTCTCTCTCTCTCTCTCTCTCTCTCTCTCTCTCTCTCGTCGCGCGCCCCGCAAAGGAGAGAGAGTGACAGAGAGCGAAGAAACACTGTGCGGTGTCAGTGTGCTCTCCTCGCAGCCCCGAGGCCGTTTGCCTGCCTTTCTGGGAGGGTTTTGTATGTTTGCTCATAACCTGTGTGTGAGTGGCGACGCGCTGGCGTCGCAGCGGGGAGTGGCGATATCAACGCCTAGTGCTCGTGTGTGTATGTTTGTGTGTGAGCGCAAGCGTGTGTGGATGTTAGTGTGATTGAGAGAGAGAGAGAGAGAGAGAGAGAGAGAGAGAGAGAGAGAGAGAGAGAGAGAGAGAGAGAGAGAGAGAGAGAGAGAGAGAGAGAGAGACTGCGAGAGATTGTGGTGTGAGTAAGCGAGTGCGCACTGCGCAGTCCGGGCGGGCTCTGCGGGAAGCCATCGTCAGAGAAGCCTGAAGCCTCTGCAGCGCAGGCGGCTGGAAGCTGGAAATCTGTCTTGGATGAGTTGGCGGGCGTCCTGCTGGCCTGCCTGCTGCCTGCCTGCGCAGTGCGGCGGGCCGAACACATGCCGCGATGTCACTTCGGCACGTCGGCCTGCCAGCCAGGACACTGGCGCAGGACAGCCGCCTGGAGGAAATGTCGCGGACTGGTGGTTGTTAGCGCGCGGCAAGAACGAGGATGTCGTCTTCGAGTACCCTCCCCTTTCCCTCCAGGAGTCGGCCGCACCGTGGCTGGCTGACACATTCGCACTTCCTCCAAGTTGGACAAGTGGCGCCGAGCCCAAGTTCCGGTTTTTGTCATCCGCCTGTCTGCCTTCTATCACGACGGTGGTCGACGTCGCCGTCGTTCGACGGGGGGCCGCCGCTAACTTCCTCACCCAAGTGCGACACCAATGTTTATCTGAAACTAGGATGAGCTTTGTGACGAAAGAACCGTTAAGTTGGTACTTGCGAGGGTCGCGACGCGACGAATCCATTAACGAAAAACGCAGGCCATCCCAGTAAATTCATCAGTCCATTTTCCGGGCCATGGCCGGGCGGGGCCGGGCGCAGGGCGCAGGGCGATACCCCTCCATATTTATGGAGGTGGCTCCATTTCTTGAAGGGTGCCGCTGAGCCGGGCATCAGTACCACTGCTGGCGGCAGAGAAAGGGGGAGGGGGAGGCAGGACGGGCGGAGCGTGGAATCCCATCATATTTCTCGTTCCAGACTGACATTTCCGGCGAGTAAGGCAATTTCACCTGTAAGATGAATCGCTGAAAACACTCCCTGGCCGCGCCGCCGCGCCGCCGCCCTTCCGAGGTCCCCCTCGAGGCCCCCGCCCCCGCGGCCTCTGGTGTGTCCTCGCTGCTTGGAAAATGATTTGCAGTGAGGCGGCTCGCAAGGAGAGGACGCGCGGCGAGCGAGTACCAGGAAGGGGAGCCTGCTGCCTTGCTAGTGCTGGCCAGCCCGTTACGTGCGGGTGCATCCTATTCGAGTGGCTGGCCCAGGCAGGCAGGCGGGCAGGCGGGCAGGCAGGCAGGCAGGCAGGCAGGCAGGCAGGCAGGCTGGCAGGCAGGCAGGCAGGCAGGCAGGCAGGCAGGCAGGCAGGCAGGCTGGCAGGCAGGCAGGCAGGCAGGCAGGCAGGCAGGCAGGCCGGCAGGCAGGCCGGCAGGCAGGCAGGCAGGCAGGCAGGCAGGCAGGCAGGCAGACGGCCCCATTATGATTGGGGCCGTGCCGGGCCTGACCCTCCGGTAAACGTAGGGCTTTCGGCCGCTTTCGGCCGCTTTCGCTGGTAACAGATTTTCTCTGCAGAGCCTTATCTAGATTGGCCGTCCCTGTCCTCCCCGTAAGCCCTCAGCACTCGGCGGCTCAACCCACAGCCTTCAGCGGCCTTCAGCCTCCGGCGAGGGGGTCGCGGCGATGTGCGCACGCCCCCGGACCCGACCCGACCCGACCCGGGAGTCCGAGCAGCGTCGCCCTGTCTCTCTCGCGCACGTGCAGCGGCCTGCCGGCCTGCCGGGGTGCGAGATAGAGGCAGAGCGACGCGACAGCCTGCCCCTGTCCCACGCCGTCCCACGCCGAGGGGAAAAACACGGAGCTCCGCGTCGAACCGGACGCTAATGCCGTTGCCCGCGTTTTTCCGCGTCGGATTTCCTGGAAAATGGTTTTTGCCGCGCACTGCCGCACCAAAGCAGGCCAAAGCAGAGCAAAGCAGAACGTCCTTTAGCAAAGTCACGTCCAGGCAGTCGCTGTTTTATTCAGTCTTCGTTCCGCGAAGAGCAAGTGCGCCATGCTCGCCGCGCTGCACCGCGCCGACGATCGGCAGAACCTGATTCGCGTGGGCCTCTCGAACGACTGCCTTGCTCCGCGGAGCACGGCGAAGCGGGGCGAAGTGGGGCCTTCAATGAGCGCGAGCAACTCGTCGAACAACACGAACAACGCGGCAGCCAGCGCGCGCCTCGCCAAACAACTCGAGCGGACGATCCGACGCACTACTTTTTATTCGGCCCGCCTGGCACGGGGCACGGAGCACGGGGCGCATAGCAGCCGGCGTGGGCGTTGGCCGCGTTGGCCGCGTTGGCGGCAGTGCACCCGTTTTCATCTGCAGGCTTCTGCTGCTGAAGGCAAGTCGTGCCCGTCTACTCAGGCGTGCGCCACGCGACTAATCCGCTTCTCCGTTGAGCCCGGCGCGGCCTGGAGCGGCGCGGCCTGGAGCGGCGCGGCCTGGAGCGGCGCGGCCTGGAGCGGCGCGGCCTGGAGCGGCGCGGCCTGGAGCGGCGCGGCTGGAGGGGCGCGCCTGGAGCGGCGCGGCCTGGAGCGGCGCGGCCTGGAGCGGCGCGGCCTGGAGCGGCGCGGCCTGGAGCGGCGCGGCCTGGAGCGGCGCGGCCTGGAGCGGCGCGGCCTGGAGCGGCGCGGCCTGGAGCGGCGCGGCCTGGAGCGGCGCGGCCTGGAGCGGCGCGGCCTGGAGCGGCGCGGCCTGGAGCGGCGCGGCCTGGAGCGGCGCGGCCTGGAGCGGCGCGGCCTGGAGCGGCGCGGCCTGGAGCGGCGCGGCCTGGAGCGGCGCGGCCTGGAGCGGCGCGGCCTGGAGCGGCGCGGCCTGGAGCGGCGCGGCCTGGAGCGGCGCGGCCTGGAGCGGGGCCCGGACCGCGGGACCCGGCTTGTCGGCTAGCTGGCTGTGCTGCGCGGTACTGCGCACCACCAGGCCCGCCCGGTGTTACAGCCAATCCCCGCCTTCGTTCAATGACGTTCCAGATTTCCTCAAGCGTTGGCCCTGCCGCAGAGCCAGAGCCTGGCTGTTCCTGGCTGTGCCTGTCGAGAAAAGGGGAGGGTGTACCCCCTCAACAATCGCACCCCGCCGGGACTGCGGATGACGGCGGGACGCCCCTCCACGCTGACACCAATCTGCAGCAGGGCGGCGCTCCTTCACCACCCGAAGCAGTGCGTGTCCCCGAGACAGGCGCTTCCTTGAGGGGCCCGTCGAAGGGCGCTGGCGGTCGCGGCTACCCCCTCCGCTCCGCTCCAAATTTGCCTCACTGCGCCGTTGTGCACAACCACTGGCGGACGGCGTGGACGTGCCCAAGTGGCCGGGCTGCCCGTCAGGGTGGCCGTCGGGGGGAAGACTTCTGCCGCCAGCGAGGCGGGACAGGGTGGCGGTGGCAGGGCGGCAGGGCGGCCCCACCCTGCCAGAGAGAGTGCACAGAGCACGGTGGCTTTTTATTATCTAATTCTTTTTCCCAGCATCCAACCCCCTTCCCCTCTTAAAAAACAACCCTCGCCACTGAAATGCTGCATTTACAGCGGAGAGGCATGCGGGCGCATTCAGAGGGCGAACATAGTTACTCGTCGATGCCTGGCACTGGCCGACCGAGACAGGGCTCGCGTCAGGTTCCTCCGATTTTTATTTTTTTTTCGCCCGGACGAATCGATGCAGGGCAGCGACGGCGATGAGACAGGCGTGCCGCTCGGGAAGGACGACGACGTCGAGGCCGTCGAGGCCGTGGAGGACGCCACCGCGCCGCACCGCCAGACCAGACCGTCACGTCGCCTCTTCGCAAAAACAAACTCGCGTCGCGCGGAATCAATGCGCCCCTCCCTCCACTTGGAGAGAGCTTCCAGAAGTAGTTTGCCGTTGTTTCCAATAAAGAAAAGCCGCTTCTAACGTGTGCGGCCGAGAGGGGGGGAGGGGGCGGGGCGTGCCCCGAAGTTGGCGCAGTGGCAAAAAGCGCGGCAGCGCGGCACAGCGATTCAAAAACAGGTTCCGTCCGTTCGGCGCGGCGGCGCGGCAGCCGTGCTAACCTTTAAATAATCCAATCCGGGGGGCGAGGCGCACGGCGCACGGTCGGCGGCATGCACTGCTACGGCCACGGCGCCACGGCCACGCGAATTCCAATATCGGGGCAATCCGTCACTGTCTGTTGGGGATCTGAGCGGCCCGG